GGCCTGCGCGGCAAAGAGAGTGAACAGAGACGACTGCATGTTGAGAAGGCAGTTTCTATGTAGCGGGAAAAGAGTGTAGAGAGATGATCAGGAAAGCTTGATTCCGAAAAGACTGTGTGGCTCTTGTCGAGAAAGAATGAACCGGTCAATGAGTGAGGACTGATTGTTGCTGTGAAGACACAAGATCTCGATTCCAGACCATGCAGAAACCTAAAGACTTTATACTCGAATGTGAAGCCTTCAAAGGCTGCGCCATCACTGCCGTGAAGCATCACTATCACGGCCAGACTGGGAACAGGCCACTGGGGTTATCGGATTGAGTCCCAAACGGGATCATAGTCCACCGCGCCTCATCACTGGCTGGGGTTGATAATACCGCCGCAAGAGTAGAGCTGAAAGCCATTAAGACTGTGGAGTGTGGAGGTACTGGCTGACCAGTCAAGGATTCGGGATCATTGCACGTTGTATTTCATCGGAATAAAAAAAACGTCTCGGTCCACTAGAGCCCCGGCCTCTTCGCCCGGTTCCTACGCTCCATCTTACAGACTACAGGCGGATGTGGCCGGTTGACATTTCGATTAGCAACCGACTCACGAATCTGTAACTCACGTGTCGGTCCATCAAGGCTGTTGAACCTGAGGTCTGATAACCGATAAGGTGTTAGTCTTGAATGGATATGCCCCAAAACGTCCCAATTCTGGCGATAAACACATGTCTGATGATACGCCTGATAGGCTGATAAGACACCGAAGGCCTCAAAACGCAGGTCCGGCGAACTTCCGAGAAGTCAAGCTTCTTCCCCAAGTTTAGCTCGCTCTCGCTCCCTCGTGCCATTGGTAGTCTATTTGTGATCACGGACCTGTGGAGCTCGCGGAGAACAACCTCCATTCGGATGCGGCCCGGGAGACGCGAGTCAGGCCCGGAGTCCCAGCGTGTCGTTCGTCCGATCACGCGTTTCAATCACAGATTCTCAATTCATTCCGCATAAACAATTGTTTGAAACTTCATTGCTTTGCTCGCGGCTGCTAAGGTATTCAATACTTATCATTCTAGCCTCTCATGATGGCCCCAGTAGCTACCAGGCATCACGCAGAGGAGCTTCTGGCTGCTCTGCGGAGACCGATATCGGCACGTTGTCGACCTCAAACGGTTTGGCCGAGGAGAATGAACCAGGGTTTGGCCCAGTTGAGGCTGTCATCCTAAATGGGAAGACCCCTTAACTAGGCACCCCACAGCTGGCCAGATTTTCTGCTTTAGGCACTGGCGGGCTCGCTCCTCGGAGCCTCAATGGCTGAGCCTATCTCTGGGGAGTGCCAGAAAGTGATCTGAGTCCGATGTCGTGGGGAAACATCATGCTTGGCCCCCATGCTTGACCCTGCGAGGAAATTGGTAGGTAATGCTAAGCCTCATGGCATGGGACGAACGATACTACGTAGTAAATGGGCCCCAATTCAGCTTTGTTGTCTATGGCGTTACGGTATGACTGTAACGCGATAGATTGCCGGTGGGATTAGTGTGGCTTCCTTGCGGGTGTATTCAGTAATGATCACTCAGCTAGAAAACGCGGGCTGTGTGCTGTGCCAAGAAGGAACAAGCTATCGGACTTCTCGCCGGACAAGGTATGCACTTTATCACATTGTCCTAACAAGTAATTGAACTCGGCGCTCTTGACTCGCCAATTAAGCATGAGTTGACATCACGACCCTATGAAAATATCTTCGAACCATCTAGCGGACTCATACTCCCGACATGGTATTAAGCGCCGTGGCGCGGTAAAGTGCATCTTGGACCCATGTGGACAATCATGACCTTTTAGTAGTTGGATGTTCTGTCAGACCTGAAGAACGGCTAAAATCTGTCGGTCCGGTCCGATCGATGTAAGGGGGAGGTTCTGCCTTTGTGAGGTCAAACATCACTGGCGAATTCCTGCATCCTGCATCTGAAACAGTGGTTCGGGAACATATTTGATTGCACTATGAGGTCATCAGCACTGCGGGCATACTATTACCACAGTCAAGATGGTTGGCTTCGTTCCGTCGGTAGACCGCAACTTCCCCGCACCGGCATTTGTTGCACAACCGGGTAAGCGATCCCGGCATCCCATACACCCAGCCCAAAAGCTCAAACTTTACGTTCTTTCTACCCTCCATATTCGTAGGCTGATTTTTAGCAAGGGTCATGAATCTTGGGACCGCGCCCCCTTAGTCGAACATGCCATTCACCGGACCGCCGTTGGACCCTGGTAAGCTGGCGTCAAGCCCCTTCGCATCCATGTCGCCCAAGCCCCTCGCTGATATCCGGGCGCAGTGTCCGAATCCCTAACGATCTGGGATTGGTTGTTCGAGAAGCAGCCCTATGGTAGTAGAGCGAATGCCTTCATCGACGGGTTGTCAGGACGTCGCATCTCATTTCAAGCCCTAAAGACATACGCGACCCTTGCCTCCATCTCTCTGAACCGCAACTATGGTCTCGAACCCGGCACTAAGGTCGCAATCGTTTGCAGGACCTCGGTCTGGTACCCAGTTGCACTGTTTGCAGCCATACGGCTAGGCGCCATCGTGGTGCCCTTGCCGCATGAGGCCAAGACCCCAGATTATGAGTACTTCCTCAAGACCTCCGGTGCCGAGATGGTCTTTGTCGACGAGTCAACCGTCCACCAAGTTCGACCTGCTTGTTCTCGTCTGAACATTGATTCGGATCATCTCATTTCTGTTGACTGTGATGTCAAGGACCTGAAGTCCATTGGGACTCTGGTCGAAGAAGGCTGCTCCTCTCAAGTACAGGGGCAGGTTCCCCACTGGCAATTGCCGGCGACTCAATCAAACAAAAAGGCCTGCGCCTATCTACCATTCAGCTCGGGTACTACTGGATTGCCCAAGGCAGTGAGACCTGCCCATGATTTAGCCAATTGAGAGTATCAGTTGAGTGTTGACTGAACTTCAGGTTATGATATCTCATGCCAATGTCATTGCGCAGTGTCGCCAGATGGATACCATGGACCCTGGAACAAGGGAGACGATCCTGGCTCCGCTGCCTTTCTACCACAGTATGTGGCATCTTATCGTTCTTACAATCTTTTTGCTAATCCAGGCCTGCTTACACAGTCACTGGGCTACTGCAATTTCTGCACGTGCCAATCATGTTCGATCAAGACGTCGTCCTGTTGAGCAAGTTCAACATGGCAGACATGATGAAGACTATTCTGTCGTACAAGTGCAAGGAACTATGGCTAGTTCCTCGTAAGTATTCTTTTTCTGATTACATTTACCGGGCTAATTACTTCCCAGCACTGTTGATCCGCATGGTCATTGAGGAGGTGGCCAGAAAGAATGATCTATCATTCGTCAGGCAGCTCACTACTGGAGCGGCACCCCTGTCTCCACAAGTCATCGAGAAACTCGCCAAAGATTTCCCTCAAGCAAAGCTCAGACAAGCGTATGGAATGACGGAGAGTTGCAGCTGCCTCACGACTACTCCTAAGGATCTACAGGTCTATGCGAATGCTGACAAGGTGGGGAAGTTGGTTCCAGGCACGCAGGTCAAAGTGGTCGATCCTGCGTCTGGCAAAGAGGTCGGGTACGGTGAGGAAGGCGAGGTATATTCCCGAACGATTCAACAGCTGCCCTGTAGACTTCATACGCTAATCACAGACTTGTCATAGATATGGGCCCTCGGCCCTCAGGTTACTATGGGCTACCTGAACAACAAGAAAGCAACAAGCGAAACATATGACGAAGGCGGCTACTTACATACCGGGGATCTGGGCATAATGCGGCCAGATGGCTTCGTGACTATCCATGATAGAATCAAGGAGATGATCAAGGTCAGTATGGTGGTATAGAGAATCCGCTATGAATGGACAATTCTTGAACGACTTTGCTGACGTCTCCTCGTCTTCTAGGTCAAGGGTCACGGAGTAGCCCCTGCAGAGCTAGAGGACACCCTTCATGGGCATGAAAAGGTTGCAGACGTTGCAGTCATAGGTATACCGGACGAGTACGCCGGGGAGGTGCCTAAAGCCTTTGTAGTCCTAAGAGAAGGCGTCAGCAAGTCTCAAGAGACAGCGCAGGAACTAGAAAAACATGTGAAGGGGCTAAAGGCACGGTACATGTGGCTTCTCGGAGGGATTGAGTTCATTGACCAGATCCCTAAGAGCGCCGCTGGAAAGATCCTTCGGCGCAACCTGAGAGAGATTGAAAAGAGGAGGCGAGAGGCAAAAAAGACGGAATCCCGTTTGTGATAGTCGACTACCTGTGGCAAGTCGTCTCTAGCTAATTAATTCACTCATTCAAGCATGATCTGTCACTGAGTCCATGAGTTCCCGTAACCCTCAAGACGATCCAATGAAGTCTCAATCTCCCTAAAATCCGATCCCATCCCTTCATCTTCCTCTGATAGTATTCAATTTTGAAATAATGATTGATAAGCGCTGGCGGCCGTCCGCGGATGCTTTACATGGCCTTAAACGAGTTGACTTGGGGCTAGCTCATGTTCAGATCCATCAGGAACATTGAATATGGAGGTTGAAAGCAGAGACTCAGCACAAACGCTCATTTAAATATCTCACATTGACGCAGCCAAGATGGAAGTCATGGTCATTCAGTCGTCTTCGATACGCTACTTCTCTGAACGAGCCAAGGCTGGGATGCGGGGTGGATCACTTCGTTAGTGCCGGCTCAATTGGAAGCCGCCAAAGCCCCCGGCTCCCACCAGATACTTATATCGAGTCTGTAAATGGAAATGCCCCATTCTTCGCGGGGAAGTGCATGCGGTCTGTATTCCGAGATCTGGCACCGACGGCCAATGCCGCGATACGAGCGGGGATCCTTGCCCGCTCGAGCGAAAACGCGAACACATGCATAGCAGCCCTGATCATCACCCACAGGTATTCCTTGGACTGAGCTTTGATTTTGTCATTTCAAGTTTTCTATCTGGAAATATCTGTCAGATTGCGATCGCTTTGGAAATACGGTCTGGATCATTGTGGCCAGATATTAAGGATGACGCCTCACTCGGACGTGGAGCAGGCGCAGCCTGATCCGGACACCGTACCATTAACATTCGATAACAAAGTCGGCGGAACTCCTTTGAATCACCAATATGATGGGCCCTACAAGGTTTCAGAGCACATTCTGTGGGCGCCACGGAAGCTCAGAGTTGCTTGCATCGGTGCTGGAGCTTCTGGACTGACCCTGTGTTACAAGAAAGAGAAGGAGTTTGGCGAGGGCATTGATCTCGTCGTATACGACCGTGAGTTCATTCGAATATCGTTCTTTCCCTAGGGGAATTATTGATTCCCTCTCTTTTCAGGACACCCAGCCTGTGGAGGTGTGTGGTACGTGAATAAGTACCCGGGCTGTCGATGTGATATTCCGTCGCCATCTTATCAGCTCTCGTTCTATCCCAAACCGGACTGGTCCCAGTACTGCGCTCCTGCAGAGGAGATTAAGAAGTACTATCAATCCTTTGCCGAAGAGCGCGGCTTCGTTGAAAAGTACATCAAACTACGCCATGAGGTCGTGCAGACGACCTGGGACGAAGAGACCAGCCAGTGGATCCTGGACATTGATGAGCTGCTTGACAATGGCGAAAAAAGACGGTTCCAAGACAAAGTTGACTTTCTAGTCGCCAGTATCGGCATCATGAACACCTGGAAATGGCCAGACATTCCCAACCGGGAAGCCTTCAGAGGCAAGATGATGCATTCAGCAGCGTACGATACGTCTGTGAACCTGAAGGACAAGTCGGTCATAGTAATTGGCTCCGGAGCTTCCGCCGTACAAATTGTTCCTGCGATTCAACCAGATGCGAAGAAAGTGACATCTTTCTATCGCACGCCGCAATGGGTCAGTGGTGGTGTACCCCTTGAGGGCTACACGGAAAGCGGCCAGAACTTCTCGTGTACGGACACACCCACATTCATCACGACTGAAGTCAAATCTAAATCTCGATAGATACGAAAGAACAGATTGAAGCATTTCAAACCGACCCGAAGCTTCATCTGGAACATCGCAAGAAGATGGAAGACAGCATCATCAAAGGGTTCCCCTTTAACATTCTTAACCACCCTATCCAAACTTTTGGCCGTGAGGTACAACGTAGTTAATGCTTCGGTTCAGATTCCCAGCTAACTGGGTCTGTATAGCTACTTGAAAAAAGCATGACCGCTGCTCTGAAAGGTGATCAGCGGCTAATCAAGCGTCTCATTCCATCGTTCCCTGCGGGGTGCCGACGAATTGGTCCGGCGGAAGGATTCCTGGAATCGTTTCATGAGGATAATGTGGAGTTAGGTGATGGAGACATCGCAGCCTTCACAGAGAAAGGCGTTAGAACTGTTGATGGCAAGGAATACGAGGCGGATGTCCTCATCTGCGCTACCGGCTTCGACACAAGCTACCGCCCTTTCTTCCCAATTGTCGGGCGCCATGGCCGAAATCTCGCTGACATCTGGAAAGATGACCCAGCGGCTTATCTTGCACTTGCAGTAAACGGGTTTCCAAATTTCATGCGTACGTTCCCCCCCTGCGAAAATAGAGAGACGTCGTTCGTGCGTGGCTGATACATTGATCGTAAAGTTGGATCACTCGGTCCGAATGCCCCATTAGCCCATGGAGCTCTGACACATGTTCTCGAGGCGGCTCTCACCTATGTCTGTAGGGTGATTCGGAAGATCCAAGTCGACAATATTCGATCGATCGACGTCAAGGCTGAGGTTCTGGAAGAATATAATGAGCACGTACACGAATGGCTGAAAAGAAGGTAAGCCCTGTGGTCCATGGCAATGTCCACGCAACGCATTTTATCAAGGATCACTGACAAAGCAATTATCTGCAGTGTTTGGGCTGGTGGCTGTCGCTCTTGGTACAACCAAGGGAAGCCAGACGGGAAGGTTATCGCCCACTATCCTGGCTCCCTGGTTCATTGGCGCTTGATGACGAACCAGCCCAGATGGGAGGACTACAACATCAAATATCGAAGTCGAAACCGATTTGAATTCATGGGTAACGGGTTCACTGACATTGAGGTGGACAACAAAGACGTGTCGTGGTATTTGAACCCCGAGGAGATTGAGAAGCCATTGTTCACTTCTTTGAATCCTGTCTAGAAGTAGAGTAGCCTCAGAGGGCTTTCGTATGCATTCATGGAAAATCACAATCTTAGTAGCATTGAACCGCTATCTGACCGCTCAGCACGCCATTCAAGGCGGTGGTGATCTTTGACGGTTGTTGAGACATATCTGGACGCCAAGAGCTCTGATAGCGGGTACAGCCATCTTGGAGGAGTTGCATTGAATCCGCTCCGAGGCCGATTAGCAAGGATTCAGCTTGCCCACCTTCCCTGTAGAGAACTCTTCCGTCTTGGCTACTAGGTACACCACGATAATTCAAAAGCTCCTGCAGCTCAGTAGAGATATTCTAAAGGCCATGCAGGAGATTTGCACCAAGCTGCATTACCACAGTGACTAGCAAGATTAGATACGAGTAGAGAGCATTCTAAATGGGCTGAGCAGCTTTCCATCTCGCAGATAAAGACCTGCATGATGCATGCGTTGGTAGCCAGCTTTCTGTTCTTCTCATGCAAGTCTCCGTCACCATGGCCCATATCAAGCGAATAGCTCTGCTTCTAGGGCTAAGTTTGCCTGCATTCTCGATCCCACTTGCCAGTGACGCGTTGGCGAACGACATCGTCCTAGACAAGTATATCGTACGAATCGCACCAAACACGGTCGACGCCGATTTTGAACATCACTTGCAGTGGGTCGGAGCAGTGCATGCGCGCAGCTTGATGCGACGCAACACAGCTGGTGTGGAGAAGACGTTTGAATTTGGAGGCTTTCGCGCATACGCTGGGGAGTTCGATCATGAAACGCTTGAGCAGATCAAGCAGGACAAGAACGTAAGTTTTGCGGTTTCAGGCAACGAAAGAGAGCCTGTTGGACTGACAGAAATATCGATATTACAGGTTGTTGCAGTGGAAGACGACCGCGTAGCTGAAGTCACGGCTGTGACGACCCAGGTTGATGCGCCATGGGGTCTTGCAACTCTATCGTCCCCTGCACCATTGGTCGACGGCAATAACGCCGGGTATCCGTACCATTTTGATAGTGCAGCTGGAGAAGGGAGCTTTGCATATGTGATGGACACCGGTGTTACTGTGGCACACCCCGAGTTCGAGGGTCGAGCTTTCAAGGGTTATAACGCCTGGGCTGCTACTGGCGAAACCTTTGATGATGAGTTTGGCCATGGTTCTCACGTAGCAGGTACAATTGGTTCTGCAACCTTCGGCGTAGCTAAGAAATCAACTATCTTCGACGTCAAGGTTGCTAGAGGAATTGTGAGTACTCTCGGAAGATAGTTGGCGAGTTACTGACAAAGATGGCGCGCAGGGCTATACTACCACTGCTCATATGCTAGATGGCTACAGCTGGGCCGTGAACAACATCACAAACACGCCAGGACGCATTGCGAAGGCGGTGATCAACATCAGTATAGGTATGTGGCTTCCAGAGACTTAGTCCCACCGAGCTGAATATTGTATCAGCTGTCCCCAAGAACGAAGCCATCAACGCCGCAGTTGATGCTGCGTTCGATCTCGGGGTCACTACCATCGTAGCTGCCGCGAACGACGGGAAAGACGCCGGAGCTAAGTCACCGGCCTCAGCTTCGAAGGCGATTACCGTCGGTGCAGTCGCGTGGAATTGGACACGTGCTGACTGGAGCAATTTCGGCCCTGATGTTGACATATTCGCACCTGGTCTCGACATCTTGTCTTTGTGGAAGACATCGGGATCTACGGCAACGATTTCTGGTACATCGATGGCCTCGCCTCATGTTGCCGGCCTCGTCGCATATTTGCGGAGCGTATACGAAATGCCCGACGCAGCTACCGTACGGGAAAAGTTGACTGAGCTCGGGCTCAAGGGAGTTGTCGGTGATGCGCGAGAGGGAAGTGCCAATTTGCTGGCACATAATGGGGTCGTTGCAGCTTGATGGATTATCAGTAAATCGAATGAAGCTAGGTTCTGTTGGGACTGATAACGTACCTCGAGTTTCTTACATCTTCACTTGCCTAACACAGCTACCGCCGTCGTTTAGCATGAATGCAGCCAAGATCCAAGGCACTCCCACATACTCCCGAAGAACCTGGGAGCTGTGAGGCTTTTACTCTTCCTGGTCCAGGCACTCAAAGTGCGGTTATAGACGCATCTTGAACAGGTGGAGCGCATTGTGCCTCGGCTTGTCTGAAACATGCAGCATGCCCTTTCTTGCAGAAATGGTAGAATGAACCAAGACGAGCAATATTCGGCGACACATGCGGAGAACTGTTGCAACGTCCAGGATTCTACCAGCGGCTTGCTCTATTGGTTGAGACCCATTGTCCGTGTCTCCAAAAAGTGTCGCCCTCCACTTCTCCAAATACGTCATGCAGGAGCAAACTTGGGGTAAGAGGAATGATTCGATGTGTCTAAGAACAGTCGTCTCATCGTCTGCTAAGAGTGGGGGAGGGTCTCGGATGAGCTAGAACTGCCTACTTCTTCTTCCCCGCGCCATCTAGGAATGGTAATGATTCGCCGATTAGGGCCACAGCTCAGGCTCGGGGGTTCGGGATTGATCCCCCTCCCACTCGGACTTCTTCTCATCCCCCACTCCGGCCATCCTCCCGTCACACTCGAACCTGCCGGACACAAACTGGCCCGCGGCGGCATCCCCGCGTCTTGGCAAAAGTTTCCCGCCCGCTACCCCGCAGCGGCGCAGCCCCCATCTCAGTTTAGCAAGATATTCCGCGGGAGAGAAGCTGCCTCGTGTGGCAGCCGGTCACCCGGGGTCGATGTCATACAATGGCACTTATTCTTGGTGATTTCTTGGGAGATGATGGCTCCTTCGTGAGGGGTTCGTGAGTGGGATAAATAAGGATGGGTGCTGCTGTGCTCCTCTTCGTGCTTTCTTGAATCCCCATTGCTCGTCATCTGAAATTTACCAACCCACACGCATCACCATGGCCTCTACTATGAAAGCAGTGAACTATCAGGGACCTTACAAGGTCAAGGTTTCGGAGGTGTCCCTGCCAAAGATCCTACACCCAGACGATGTCATCGTCAAAGTCACAACGGTAAGATGAACCCCACTTTCATCTGTTCTTGCTCGAAGAGGGTCGCCAAGCTGATTGTCGATACAGGCTGCCATCTGCGGATCAGACTTGCAGTATGCCACGCCTGATAATTTGAATGTAATAATGAAGTAGCTAAGTATGTCGCAGTATGTATGAGGGACGAACTGCAGCGGAGGCTGGCATCACATTCGGTGAGTTATTCTACAACAGACTTCGAGGCCCCATGTGCCAAGTATTGACGAGGATTACAGGTCATGAGAACATGGGAATTGTCGAAGAGCTCGGTGCTGGCGTCACTCTTCTCAAGAAGGGAGACCGCGTAGTCATGCCCTTCAATGTCGCAGATGGGCGTTGCCAAAACTGCGAAGAAGGACGCACGGCATTCTGCACCGGTGTCAACCCTGGCTTTGCTGGCGGTGCTTACGGTTGGTGCCCTAATCCTAATTATTGCCTCAATGATGTAAACTAATACAACTTCCCAGGATATGTCGCCATGGGACCTTACCCTGGTGGACAGGCTCAATACTTGAGAGTACCGTACGCCGACTTCAATGCCTTGAAGCTGCCTCCTGGAAAGGAGTTCGAAGCCGACTTTATCCTGCTGGCAGACATCTTCCCAACCGGTGAGAGTGATCCTTGACTGTCGACTTGGTGCAAAGACTAACTTGATGTTGCAGGTTGGCACGGTGTTGAGCTTTCTGGCTTCAAGCCGGGTGAGAGTGTTGCTGTTTTTGGTGCAGGTCCCGTTGGCCTCATGGCAGCGTACTCTGCTGTGCTCCGTGGAGCATCAAGAGTCTTTGTCGTAGACCGTGTTCCCGAACGTCTTCAATCCGCAGAGAAGATCGGATGCACACCCATCGATTTCACAAAAGGCGATGCTGTGGAGCAAATCAAAAAGTCGAATGGTGGCGAGGTTGACCGATCCGTTGATGCCGTTGGATACCAAGCCGTCAGTGCAGGCGGCAACACGGAACAGCCCAACATTGTTCTGGAGAACATGATCAAAGTTACTCGAGCTTGCGGTGGCCTTGGTATTCCAGGACTTTACGTTCCGAGGTGAGAACTATGACAACTTTGATGCGTGAAATCAAGCTAACTCGTCATCTAGTGATCCGGGTGCGTCGGATGATGCTTCGGCAAAGGGCATGATCAGCCTTAGCTTTGGCAAGCTATTCGAGAAGGTATGGGTACCCCAAAGCTTCAGCTAATTGGTGCTTTGCTAAATAATCATAGGGACTTTCTCTCGGCACTGGCCAATGTAACGTCAAGGCTTACAACAGATATCTGCGTGACTTGATCATTGCAGGCAAGGCCAAGCCCAGCTTCGTCGTCTCGCATGAGATTAACATTGACGATGCGGAGACTGCCTATGAGAAGTTCGATAAGAGAATCGACGGGTACACCAAGGTCCTCATCCACCCCAACGGTGGCTTTTAACGACATGATGTATGATGTACTCCGGCGGTGTTGTGGTGTTCAAAAACAGGCAGGTGGTAACACGGCGGGCGGTGGTGTTTTGACGCGGATGGCCAGTTGTAAGTAGCTTATGACTACCTGGGCACATATTGAATCATATCTCAAGTTGTACTATGCATCAAAACTGCTACAGTGTGCCTTTTTATTACGCCCGCCTCGTCTCTATTCGTGAAAAACGAGACCAACGCATTACCCCTTGATTTTCGAATGTTGGCCAACGCATTACAACGTGATGCCATGCAGAGGCAAGTCATTCATACTGCAAGCAGTTCATCTCCAAACAAAAGCCACAGTGCAGGGCGTCATTTTTGAACTTGATCTTCTAACGAAAGTGCGCGTCTGTTTCATGTTTAGATTCGTCTTTCGAACAATATGACCCTGTCTAGTCACCATTCTACCCCGTCCGTACCCCTCAGGCTCCAGTCACTGACTTGATATTGTCATTGCTCGGCCCACGATGCCCCCTGAACCCGAACTTCTGCTCCCTTTTGATATCTTAATCTATGTTTCTGGAACTTCTGAGTCGAATAATAGTCCACATAATAAGAGGGGTGTGTTCCATGACTCTGCACCAGTCGCAAGTATCTCGCGGTGCGTCGACTGGCATGATGCAAGCGCACGTCAGACAATTACATCGGTGTACCTGAGCTTTGAGAGAGTCTGACGAAGCTGGCATTGTGTCGATAGTTACGGAATGCTGGCTGTCGTGTAGTTCTTCTGCGGAACTAGCCTGGAGGTCATTGTGAGATGTATGTGAAAACCATCAGGTTATGCGGCGCGTACGTCCATGTCCGCTACTTTAAGAAGCCTTTCATCATGTCAACTGAATCACTAGAACTGTTTTATTGATAAGTTCACAACTCAATCATTTCAAACCAGGGCCCTTTTTGAGGTTTAATAGGACATTTGAACTGAATCACACACGTTGACTTTTGAATTCTCAAAGCGCTATTCCACACTTCTACATCTTCTTATCGCAATATTTTGCTATTTATTTACTCGTCATAAGTGGCTCGGAGACGAATGTCTACATAGAAAGTTGCACATTCTCATGTTTTACGAATTGGCCTGGACGCTCAAAGCACGGCAACTGTTGCGACAAGTGTTGCTGACGGATTACGCACAACATGAAGTTATCTTTTCTCGTTCTCTTTCGGCGCGACATGCGGAAAAATGTGTTCACGCGGGGCAATATGCATAGAGCATCGGACATGTTACCGAAAACTTACTCCAGTTGATCCCGCTTCTGCTGTGCCACTTCGCCAAGGTGGTAGTAGTCCATGAGCCCCTGGCTAGCAATGCAGCAATATTCATAGTATCCACTTCCTTGCGTCCTTTCGCAGATTTTCATTCTGTTTTGCTGGAACCGTTGTATATAACTTTGGTGGCCCGTTGGTGCTTGATCAAAGGAAGAGATTTCGACCCAATCCTCCACATGATCAACACTCCGCCCCATATCGTGTTCTTTATCAATGACGATTTTCAAATTTATTTACGCCAGCTTTCTAGCTGTGACCCCTTTGGCTTATGGATTTGGGGACCGCGACTGTACTGGCATCAACGCCATTCATCCTCAATGCCGGAACGCGGATGCCGTTCCCTACCTCAGGGACTTTTTCTACGTTGGCGGTCGCGCTCTGGATACTGCCTCCGGCGAACTCACCGCCGACAAACTCTATGTCGAAAAGCTTAGCCCAGTCCTTCCCCTACGAGAAACACCCATCGTTTTCTTCCACGGGGGAGGATGCAGTGGTACGTCTTGGCTCAACACGCCTGACAACCGCAAAGGATTTGCTAGCTACTTCATTGAGGAGGGCTACGTTGTGTACATCGTGGATGCTGTTGGCAATGGCCGGAGCACCAACATGGACTTGGAGGGATTCCCATTGACGGCGGGATCATCTTCGACTTTGGTCGAAATGGGATTCTCCGCTCCTGAGTTCTACAACGGCTATCCCCAGTCTCAACTGCATACACAATTTCCCGGCACCGGAAGAGCCGGCGATCCAACTTTCGAAAACTTCAAGAACTCCATGGTTCCATACACTACTAACAACATCACCTTCGAGAACGCCATGCGATCTAGCGGATGCAAGCTTCTCAGCCTGATCGGCAAGTCGTACGTAATTGGCCACTCCGCTGGTGGTTCTGCAGGTATTCTGCTCTCCAACGATTGTCCGGAACTCGTGGCTGCCAACATCAATCTTGAATCATCAACTATTCCATTCTTTTGGTACACATACGGAACTGCCGGGTTCTTCAACAATGCCTGGGGTTTGGCCAATACCCCTCTGAACTACACTCCGCCTATTTCCGATCCTTCTGAGCTCAAAAGGGTTGAGGTTGGAAACTCTACCACGGCCAAGCGCAGCTGCTTCCGTCAAGTCGAGCCGGCACGCACATTACCCAATATCGCAAGTGTTCCATACCTCATGATCACGGCTGAGGCAAGCGTTCACGTCACTTATGATCATTGCATTGTGGAATACATGAGGCAGATCGGCGCGAAACCTGAATGGATCAAACTTGCAGAGAGAGATATCCTTGGAAACGGGCACTTTATGCATATCGAGAAGAATAATGGTGAAGTCGCCAAGCTGGTGCTGGATTGGATCGGGGGTAAAGAGGATTTGATCTGATCAAGATGTTCATATCGATGTCAAGCTTTCCTAACCGCTCAACGTACACTCACACATGAATGAATGCCAATTATTAATTTGCACACAGCATCGTTAAGAGAATGATCCGTTTTCTTCTTATCTCTGCTTCAATCCCTGAGGCTCTTCGTGCCACTCTGGCCTGTTGTGCCATTGAGGCGAAGGGGCTCGTGGATCATGGGGTATGTACTCCGGGTGTTCATCAGCATGCGTTACGTGAACCTCAACCTCCTGAGTCCGCAGAATATTCATCTCCATCACCGTACCACGGTTCTCTCGCAACTGATCCTTCTTCACGATGCTCTCGCTTGACTCTGAGCGATCTCTCATTTCCGCGATAATGGTTATAGATGACTTCGCGGTATGCTTTTTGCTCCGTTGTGTCCCGTCGGTATCGGAGGTCTTGCTGTAATGCCATGTTCCATCATCCGTCCCGCCATCAGATTGACTTCTTCCGCATGCGTTAACAACGCTGGCCTGGGCCTTATGCCAGTATTTCTCAAACAGACCGTCCAAAACTGGCAGCGAAGCAGTCAACATTCCGAGCGATAAATCTAGGCATGTCCACACCAAGACCTCAACATAATCCCAAGTAAAGTCGTTCGTCATCGTAGGTCGGATCTGACGTAGAAGGCCGCCGAGGACTGTCACGCCGCCAACTGCCCAGATAACGAAAAGACGAATCTTCTTCGCCCCGCCCATCCGGACTTTCCACAAGATGATGATTGGTGTGAACAGCAGCGTGAGTCCCTGAGCAACATGGATGCCACTTAGGACCTTGGACTGTACCCCCAAGTCTATGCATACGGGCACGGGCTCGAGGCGTCCACGTAAGGCCAAGTCCCATTGAACCGCTGGCGGATTGCAGGCGAACACGTTATAGAAAATTGCCAGCATCACATAGGCAACCAGTGAGCCCATGAAAATGTCCCACGAAATCTGCCACCAGCGATTGATGTGATCTGCCATTCGACGTATGAAGATGGCAATTGATAGCTTGATTATGCCCACAGCTACGTAGAATGTCGTCTTGCAAGTCACAGCAACGACCATGCCGAAGTTATACTGCTCGTACGTGACTTCCCACGTGTGGACGGCGGCCGCGCCTGCTGCGAGTGACGTGATCTGGGCGATTGGATAGACGAGTGCAACTAGCTACATCGGAAACAATTCATGTTAGCAATGACGACCAGTCATCTTGAATTGCTTTTCACTTACTGCTGCGATGATTATTGTCCAGTCATCCCATCCGAATTGCATCGTCGAGCCCCTCTTCAACCTCAGTCCGACCCTCCCGGCCGTGGGAATCGCGATGGCCAGAATAACAAAGATGAGACCCGCCAGGATGTTGGGTAGCCTCGTCTCGTATGTGTAGTCCGCCGGAGGTTTGGCTGCAAGAAAGTAACCCTTCATTGGGTTGGCATCATTCATCCCAACCATACGGAAAAGGCCTTTGATGATGTAGTAGTCGTGCCGTGTCGCAGGCGGCTGTCCCATGAAGGCTGAAAGCCCCGCGGCGGGTAGGCTGGCTGGATCATCTGGAATCGACTCGAATGCATCCGTGGATGCCATCACAGGCGAGGAGTTCGTGTGCCATTCGGTGGAAACGAATGCGGTAGGTAGGTCATCTCAGTCGCGCACGATGGGCAGGCTTATGGTTTTGAGCAAGTTTATTCAAATGTGAGTGCCACACCAAGACAAACTCTGACAGAAAAAAGCAACGGGCTGTCTGCGCCAGAAGATTTCGCTTCTGCACCAAAGATTATGGCTTGCTGTGCCAGATGGGCACATTAGCGAGCCACACTATGCTGCAGTGGTATGATCTCAAATCTGCATGCGATGGCAAAAGCGGCAGCGTTTCCTTGAGCGCAGGAAGCCGTGCTCTTGGCTAACAGGGATTGTATTTCGGTCTCTTTTGAGGCAGACGCGTTCTTCGCGTTCTTCGCGTTCTCCATCAGACCTCGTGGCCCCCAAGACTGTGCTCCTTCCAAGTCCAGTCGAAGTGGCGATCATCTAAGGAGATAACTCAAGCCGGCTCGACGTTTTGCTTCAGTATCCTCAGTGTCGAAGTCTTGTTCTTACCTTCTCCCATCTTGGTCAAGACCAAAGAGACAATGTTCTTTGGATGAACTCCTTGCCCCTTGTGATGAGCGGAAACAGGGGCTCCGGGGAATGCGTCCGGATCTAGCGTGGCACCCGCCGGACCCCTGTAGCCACGCAATGTGCATGCTAATTTCCCCTGATCCTTGCTTCTCCAGGCACTTGTTGGGCGTGCCCCTCACCGGTCACGATTCTGTGGAGTGATCCAAACGCGATTACCAATGATTTTGCAAAGTGAAAATGGCCCATCGACCTTGTTTACCAAAGAAGCAAGCAATTTCATACACAAGGTACAGGAGCCTAACCATGAAAGTCCTTGGTTCTGTTCACTAACCATTCTGCGAAAGCAAACTCTCCGCTTCTCGATCGGTCCGGGTCCACATCGTCATCTTGCAGGTTGCCACACCCACAACTAATCGGCTAACCATACCTTCAAGAGTCGGACATGTTGTATACGTCCCAATAATGCATCATACATGAGACAAGAAACATGAATCATTGGATATAGTGTAAGTCCGCATTATCTATCCGTATCTTAAACAGCAGCAACGCTAGCCTAGGTCCCCAGTTTCTACCTCTTCTCACCCAAAGCAATGATCTCCGCCTCGATGGCCTGTCCAAACCCATCCGTTGTGCCCTTTCCTCCCAGGTCAGGGGTCATGATTGATGCCTCAGACCGGGCCAACACATTTTCAATCGCCTTGAGCACCAAAGAGGCAGCATCTGTGTATCCGTAGTGCTGAAGAAGCATTTGGCCAGCCCACACCATGCCGACAGGGTTGGCGATGCCCTTGCCATAGATATCCGGGGCACTGCCGTGCACCGGCTCGAAAAGACTGGGGAACTTGCCATCGGGGTTGATGTTGGCTGAAGGAGCAATACCGATAGTACCTGTGCAAGCGGGGCCCAGATCAGAGAGGATGTCTCCAAAGAGATTGCTGCCAACCACCACGTCGAAAATGTTTGGGCGTTGGACAAAGTGCGCGGTCAAAATATCGATATGGTACTTGTCGAGGTTGACATCGGGGTAGTTCTTGGACATCTCTGCAACGCGGGAGTCCCAGTAAGGCATGGTGATGCTGATGCCGTTGCTCTTTGTAGCACTGGTCAGGCGCTTGCGGGGTCTGCTCTGAGCAAGGTCGAATGCATAGCGGAGAACCCTGTCGACGCCCACTCTGGTCATGACAGTCTCCTGAATGACAGTCTCTCTGTCGGTTCCCTCAAACATTTTGCCGCCAATGCTACTGTACTCGCCCTCGGTGTTCTCACGCACGATCCAGAAGTCGATATCGCCGGGCTTTCGGTTGGCGAGGGGCGACTTTACGCCGGGCATCAAGCGGCACGGGCGGAGGTTGATGTACTGGTCGAATTCGCGGCGGAACTTGAGCAAGCTTCCCCACAGTGAGACATCGTCGGCGACTTGGCTAGGCATGCCCACGGCACCGAAGTAGATGGCGTCAAACTTGAGGAGGGTTTCCTTCCAGTCAGATGGCATCATCTCGCCATGCTTCTCGTAATAATCGCAGCTCGCAAAGTCGAAGGTCTCGAACTGCAGAGAGAGACCAAAGACTTTGGCGGCGGCTTCAAGAGCGCGGACACCCCATGGCATGACTTCCTTGCCGATGCCATCTCCGGGAATAACGGCGATTTTGAGCGTTTGAGGTGCCATTGTTGTTGGTTGGTGCTGGTAATGACTGGGGTCTGGTAGATCTGACTTTGGATTGTTCGTAAAGAAATCGGTATGACGGTTTATAATTGCCACGACGATTGGAGCCGTTTGACGATATCGGAGGATGTTGTTTCCGTGGAAAATGTCGTCGCCGCGTTACGCCCGCTGCATTTCGGGGATGAGGGAATGTGGTCGCTTAAATATTTGGCCGCGGCTTCTTAGTCCCGCGCCAGCGACGTCACTGTCGGCAGCTCTCAACGACTCACTCGTCTGACATGTCCGAAAAGCCGAGGGCCTGTTGGTAAATTTTCAATGGAACTTCGGTTTTGTGTGCGAGCTGAACTGCATGTTTCGGCTACTTATACAAGTAGGCAAACTAGCACAGCACTGATGCCCAAGAAGTACGTGAAACTCGCACACAAACTTCGTGATCTACCAGCTATTTGGCATTGTAACACTTTCAAAACTTCATTGAATCTCGATTCAAAATGGTCAAAGTTGCTGTACTCGGAGCCTCTGGGCAAATTGGCCAGCCTTTGAGTCTTTTGCTCAAGTCGGTACGTCAAGACGTATTTATACTCTATGTGTCTTTACACTGACGACACGGTCTTAAAGAGCCCTCTAGTGTCAGACCTCAGGCTTTATGATGTCGTGCACGCTGTGGGCGTGGCAACTGACCTTAACCACATTGATACTCCCGCTCCAGTTAAGGGCTACCTGCCTGAAAATGACGGCCTGCAAAAAGCTCTGTCAGGTGCAGAGGTTGTTCTGATCTCGGCCGGTAAGCTCTACTCCTGCGAACTGGGAATTATAAGACACTGTGTTGCAAAAGTGGAACCACAATTGCTAAGCAGCAATTGCGCCTTCTCCTTCGCAACACACCCCCTCAGATCTTGGAGAGTCGTCTACTGGATCTGAACTTCGCAGTCCCTCTACGAGAGTCTCTACTAAGGGGAAAAAATCCCTTCCGGGTACGCCGGAGTCGGGATTCGAACGCGGGTCTTTGCTACTCAAAAATAACACGATAACTGGCAGAGTCAAAGGGCTCATAACTGTTGCAAAAGTGGAACCACAATTGCTAAGCAGCAATTGCGCCTTCTCCTTCGCAACACACTGACAGGGGGCATTAGGCATTGCTAGAAAGCCTGGAATGACTCGTGATGGTAAGCGTTTCTTGTCAAATAGACGTGCTGATAGTTACCTGACACTTTCAAGACCTTTTCAAGACCAATGCCAGCATCATTGCGGACCTTGCTACCGGTGTCGCAAAGTTTTGCCCAATAGCCTTTGTCGGCATCATCACCAACCCTGTCAACAGCACTGTCCCCATTGCCGCTGAGGTGCTCAAGAAGAACGGCGTTTTCAACCCTCAACGTTTATTTGGTGTGACAACTTTGGATGTGGTCCGAGGATCTAAGTTCGTGGCCGACGTCCTTGGAAACGACCCTCGGCAACTCAAGGTCCCGGTTGTCGGTGGCCACTCCGGCGCGACGATCCTGCCATTGATCAGCCAGTCTGAGCCCAAGGTTCAGCTGAGCCAAGAGCAGATTGAAGCCATCACCCACAGTAAGGAAATCGCCGCCTATAAAGAAGACTTAATCTAACATGCCTACCAAGGGGTGCAATTTGGCGGAGATGAAATCGTCAAGGCGAAAGCCGGTGCTGGCTCTGCAACCACATGCATGGCTTACGCTGGATTCCGGTAGGTGTCTTCCTGGATCATGTTGGGAGACGGATGTGACTGACGCAGGATGTAGATTCGCCCAGGCGATTATCAAGGCAGCCCAAGGTCAGACTGGCATCGTAGAGCCCGCGTATGTGTATCTGCCTGGTGTACCGGGGGGTGATGCCGTATCCAAGGAGCTCGGCGTTGAATACTTTGCCGTTCCTGTGAGCTTCGGTGCCAATGGTGCTGAGACTGCTCATCCCATCGGCTCTCTTTCTGATTACGAGACGAAGCTTCTCAAGATTGCTGTGGACGAGCTGAAGGGTAACGTCAAGAAGGGAGAGGACTTTGCGCGAGCTTAGAATGTGTTATAGACAGAAAATAGCTTCATATGAAGACCTTTCTTCTGCAAAGATCCATTTTAAAAGTCGACTCCTAACTCCGGGTATCTCTAATGGATCTCATTAAGCTTGAGTTTACATCCCAGTTCCGGCATCATTTACAATATCTATAAGAGATCCCCATGTTGCTCCGTCGAACATGTCGAAAAAGTTATCAGTGTTACCATACTGATCCATTTGGCCCTGGGCGGTTCTCTGTCGATCTGGAAATGTCGTGGGAATTTGTGAGAAATATGTGCTCATGTTAGAGGCATTGTTCTGAAAACTCATATCCTGGGAATTTCCAAAGAGGGTCGGCTCCCCCGTGCTAAACCCTGGGGAAAATGTGGTCATTTGTTGGTGTGAGCTGGTAATATGTTGCGGGGTGGTTTCCATGTTGTAGTAGAAGTTGTCGCTTCGGTTGTCGTGAAATCTGACGCTTCGCTGGGCGGAATGGGGCAATGGTGTCCTTGATCTGTTCTGTGCGATCGCATGTGAGGATCGAGAAGATCGCCTATGAGCCCGATCTAGACGTCCACGAAGTCCCGCAGATGGGGCTTGTGTCATTTGCCGTTTTGTTGTCCGTGGACTTCCATCACTATTAGTCGGAATTGGGCTCGGTGTCTCATCCCCTTCGGTGCGGGTTCTCTTATGCCCCTTGGATCTGTGATCAATGTTGTCCAGCAGCACAGATAAAACTCCTTTGCAGTCCTTAGCCATACGCCATCGGTTTTCCATGACCGTCAGTAACTTGAGAACGGTACGAATATCGCTGAGAAGTAATCAATTAAGTTGATCAAGACAAATGGTAGAAGACAGGACTTACGACTTAGCTCTAGAGAGACTGTATGACTTCACACGAGCTGCAAGCGCCAGCACGAGACCGCTCATCCAGACGGCAGACATGTAGCCGGGCCAAAATAACGGTCCTCCGGTCTGGTGATACTGCTCGACAGTTGGTACAATAGCCTTAGCGGCACTGATGCATGTTTGTAGTGCCGCACGAAACTCGGCACATCTTGAGTCCAATGACAGCGACGGTCTGTTGAGTAGAAGGACAGTGTAATGATAGGTGATGTATGGGAAGACGGTTGGATCTGGAGTGAGCTCTGGAATGTTCATGAGGGTTGGACCGGGTCGTGGTTCTGTGAGGTCGTTGCCCCAGGCAGCAACGTCGGCCTTGAGGAAAAGGATCGTCTGGTTGTTCATGTCCCGAGCATGTATGGACCTATGAAATACATCTAGGACTCGTCCAACCAGCTGCGAATGTCTTACATGGTTTTGAAGAACGTTCTGTGTCTCTTGACGGTGTCGAAGAATGGCGGCAGCTTTGGCTGTACTGGCGTTTGCTTCGCTATTTACAGCCGCGTTTTGGTCCCCTTCTTCCACTTCTGTTGATGAATCTGAATCGTACTCTCCTTTGTCTCGGGATTTCGCACATCTTTCGGGGTGGTTGGCTGGAAGATGTAGTATCGTGTTGTCTGCTGCAGCACTTGCGGGAGAAAGTGCGGATTGCGCGACAGGTTCGTGAAGATCCCTATGCCCTGGAGGGCATACATCGATATCTGAGTCTTGAATGCCGCTAGGGTGGCCCAGAGACTGGCTCACGAATCGATCTAGAACATAAAAGCTCCAGAAAATGCGCTTGCGCATGGATCGTTCATCTGGAGATAGGTGGCCATATCGAACGGGGCAGCGATGCATGCCGGACTGGAATATGGACTTTGAAATAAGACCACCGACGGACGACGCATGTCGAAGAGACATGACGGATATAAAATACACTTGAGCGCTAAGAAGCGCCTGGATGGAACAGGCATCGCTCCGTAGAGCCAAGAGGCTCAGGGTGGGTAGTAGATCGGAGCTTGATCGGATCCCTGCAGATCCTATGTCCACTGCGACGTCGCTATCGAGTCTCGCAATGTTGAAGATGCACCTGAAGATGACTAGACGGCTGAGAGACGCAACATTGCGTCGGTCATGCTCGGTAGCGGCGTACAGAGCGTCCAACTCGGCGAGGCATTCGGGGCCTTGCAAGAAAGGAACTAAGGGGTGCCAAATTCTGAAGTATGTCATCACGAGCGTCCTGGCGGTTGAATAGTCTGGTAGTTTGCTCATATCATTGATGAAGTCGGAACCGGTAGAAAATGGGGAGAGGTGATCGTGCGACTGTGGGTGAGATTCATGGTGGCCCGCGTTGTCCGCATTCTCGTCTGGCTCGGTCTCATCATCTCCTCCGGCCCCGACAATACAATCTTCTGGTGATGGATCATCGCGAAGTTCTGCGCCCACGTCATTGGTCCGCTGGTTGGCGTCTGCTGTTGCGCTGGTTTGTGCGGAAAATGCTCGTCTCACGGTGTTGATAAAGTAGACACCAGAGGAGCTGCCAACAAACTGGCTCTCGCCGTTGGCAAGTGCTCTGAGACTCCCAATCTCCGGCATGATATTGAGTTATGTTCGAGGCGAAGACTTCTGCATTGGGCTGCTCGGCGTTGTGGCGATCATGTTCCCGAAGGTGGCTCATCCAGCGAGAGTAGGAGACGTGAAAATGACCGGTTTACAGCCTACACTCCGTTGCGTTGACAGCGTCCGCCCCCCTTTTTTTTCCCCGCTTATGCAAAAACATGAAAAAAAGCCAATTTTACGCTGTGACGCGCATTTCTCTGCATCGCACGCAAAACGCGTCAAAGTCATCACCAACACCTCAATTGCCGTCAATCACTATAGTCCCAGTAGTATTCAAACGTATAACTACACGATAGAGACATAAGGTGTGTATTTCATGCTTCCGTAGCAGTCAATCTACCCATCGAGGCATTGCCAACCCAGCTAGTCACCTCATCCCCATACCATTCGACCAACAAAAGGTCTATTTTCGTCATGAGAGATCAAGATGACATTTGCTGAGGAACAGAAGAAGAGACCTGCTGTATGACTTTATATATCTACTCAGCATACGGTTTGTATGGCTCTGAGTAATATATAAGCATACCAAGGGGCTTGATACGGTTCTTCAGAGCAAATGCTTTGGCAGTCAACAGGATTAATGACTCTCCTGATAGCTCAGCTTGTTCACGATATTGAGCAAGAGTCTACTGCTGTATAGATTGTGCCCTGTTACTTACAGTTTGCCGCTGGTCAGTACATGTCCGTGGTTTATTATATCAGATACATCGAGAAAGACGCCGGGCGACGACGACGATACAATGGCGCCCAGAATATCGAATCTACAGCTATCGACGATCGCGATGATACTGCCATTCGAAGACCAAAAGACCCACGAGCTGGCAAGTATCGTTGGCTGTACCGAACGAACGATTCGACGACATAGATCACGACGTAATATCACTGGCGAAGTGCAGAGATATAAGAGGTGCCGCCAGAGTCGACAAAAGATGGAAATATGGCATCGTACAGAGCTTCTTGAACTACTGCAGTACCGCAGCGATCTATCTCTTGAAGAGATGCAAGATTTCCTATTTGAAGCCTTCGAGATCCAGATCAGTCGTTCTGCAATCAGTCGACAGTTAAACTCAGCTGGCTGGACGAACAAGAAGTCCAAGATTATTGCTGCTCAGCGAAGTGACGAACTACGATACGAGTACTTGTACCGTATACGACGATATCGCCCCGACCAGCTGGTATTCGTCGACGAATCCGGCGTCAATAAGGATACTGGGATACGGAGGACTGGATGGGCGCCGAAAGGGCTTGCTGCGTTTCGAACTGCAGAGATTGATCGGTTTCAGAACTCTCGCGTACAGATCCTGCCAGCCCTCACGTTGAGCGGTATCCTACACTTGACTACGTATTATGGTACGACTGACGGCGATGGGTTCTTTCGTTGGCTACAGGAGTGCCTTATCCCGAAATGTGGGCGTTTTCCAGAGCCAAACTCTGTCATCGTTATGGATAACCTCTCCTGCCATCGTATACCTGAAATCGAGGGTTTATGCCGGGTATCAGGTGTCCATCTCGAGTTTCTGCCTCCGTATTCACCAGACTTCAACCCCATCGAAGAGTACTTCGGCGATCTAAAGCGATACATCAGGAAGACGTATTCGAAGTGGAACAACGATGAGAATGACACTCGGGATTTCATGGAATATCTACGTGACTGCGCTATGGAGATTGGGTATCGTCTACCCCAGATCGAGGGCCATTTCCGCCATTCGTTCGTCAACTTTGATGGGACAGAGCATATATTTGACGATATCGAACTATAAAAGGGAGGATTTGCTGCCAATATTGAACATCAGCAAGCAATCCAAATTTTCATCGTGCGTTCGCGCGCAATAGATCTTAATCGTGTCGTCATATGATGGTCAATCATCAAATCCATGATTGTAGCCAACAAGATTGCCAAAAGGTTAGCCACAAGCGCACCAGAACACAAAAAATATACCGTCGTCCATTGTTTTCGTCGGTAGCTACGTATACATATCAATTTTGCCTGTATAACGGCTGAAACGCGTTGTTGATGCTTGTGACGATGATTTGTGATGATGACACGTCATCACGATCAGAGACTTCAACCATAGTCAGAGACTTCAACTGCCCCTAACCAGTATCGGGATGGACCGAAGTGTATTGTTTGCAGATCCAAAATAACAGTAATTCTATTGCTTTTATACGTATAGAGCGGCAGTGTTGAATCTACGGCTATGGGTAGACTTTTCCGTGGTTGAACACGTCATGCAAAAAAATCGCGCATACAGTCAAACTTCACACCACTCTTGCTGTATCACTCTTCTTCGTTATCCTCCTCCGAGTAATACGTCTCTGTTGACGACGTATCACTCGAGATTTCAATCTGATTGTCCTCATCGCCTTGCTCGATTTCGTCTTGTTCGATCTGTAACTGCGTGGGCAGCATCTGCGACGCTGACAGCAGTGGTGACGAAACGAAACCAAAGAGTTCCGAAACGCCTACAAAGTTAGCCATATTCGACAGTAAACAGCTCTATATACACTCACCACGTCGACCAACTTCAACTGGCGTACCACGGATCTCTTGCTCGATGGATTGACGTGGCACTAGGGCGTCGATATGTCGGGATGACCCCAACTCGCCTGAAACTAGCGCCGCAGAGTTTTCAACTGGCGCCGCCGCCGTCCCTCCTGGCAATCCAGCGTATATTCTTGTATAAACATCTCCTTCTGACTCTCGATGGTTTGAATGAAGTTCAGAGTGAGATACCACGTCGGAGAGGGCGTCAGACTGCCCTCCGTAGTAGGCGCTGTTGTCTATGAAGGATTTGATCGAGTTCCTGACATCTTCGGTAAGATCTTGAGTAAAACCCTGTTCAGTAAACCAAATATCTGGTAACTTGCGAATTGCCCGCAAGCTACTGTCTACTGATCGCAGTTTCTGTAGCTTCTTTCTGAACCCTTCGTCGACGTTATATCGCTTGCCGCGGACGGATATAAACCACTTGATGAAGCTGGCCACTTGATCTAGAGCTTTTCGAGGCGAATCCGGTACCACTGGCGAGGACGAACGAATCGGGAGTGCGATACTTGGTTGACGAGTGCTTGGAAGGTTCAATGGCGGAAGAGTTGGCAACGAATACTGTGAGATGTTCGCATATGGCCAATATGCCGGCGGCGGCGGCGCCGGCGGCGGCAGCTGTACGTATGGGTTAGGATATTGAAGATGACGATCTGGCGCCCCCGCGTTGCCGTATATATTGACGATGGCGTTGCTGTTGGCGTTGGTTAGGCCAGATCTTGACCCTGATGATGGAAGTGCGGCATTTTCAGCCTTCTCTTCCGTCATCACTGTCGTCTCCTGGTTATCATCAACCTCCACGATATTCTTACTTCTCTTGCCCTGGCGTTTCTGATCCTCTATAAACTGGTCGTGAAGAATCTCACCAAGCAGTTCTTTAGGTGGTTCCATATTGTCAACGCCAGCCTGTCCAGTCATAATAGCCTTCGCCCACTTCTCTATATGGTGAGATTTGATCTTGTAGTGCTTCTGGCCTAGTATATAGCACCAGTTGAACTTCTCGTCGCCCGAACTATTCTTACATCTCTGGTACTCTGGGCAGATGTGCGTACGGAGAAGTTGTCTGTGCATACCCTCCTTCCGACGCTCGACGTTTGCAGGATCGTTAGCCTCACGATCGATCGCCTCTTGCATGCCGGCTGAAACGCCTGCTCGGCCACCTTTTCGAGGCGTTCGTACGCCAGTCACTATACCACCAGAGATTGGTACGGCGCTGTATTGCCACTTGACGGTGAGGTGGACTTCACCCCTCTCTTCAGCTTGTTCAAGAGAGGGGACAATATCAACCCATGGAATACTTGGCCAAGTGACCCCTCCAGTAGACGGATAGACCCGAGTGAAGATTGGTGTTGGTTTAGATGCGTTGGTGGGCTTCCTCCAAGCAACGACAACAGCGATATTGGCCTTCTTCACAATATACGAGTGAGCCACTTCTGCCTCAAGTTGGGCGCCGCTGTCTGCCTCCCAGTCTCTACTATTCGCATCTAATACAGGAGCAATACTGAATCTGTTATACGCGATGCTCTCGATGGTTAGATCGAGAACAGGTAAACCGTTACCCTTGAGCGCTGGGCCACGGGTAACCTGGATTTGTAGCAGAGTTGGTTCCTCGTTACCCATATCGTCCTCCTCTTCAAATACATCGTGGAACGACATAAACGTATCATCAGCGCTATGGCGAGGGGCCGTAGGCGTATCGTCCGCAAATCGAGTGGTTTGACGAGGGGTTGGGTTAACTGGGGTCGAGTCTGGTCGAAACGGTGGCATCGACGAAGGCAGAGTACTTCGGAGCCGGATCGTATGCGGCGGATCCTTCTTTCGCTTCCTCTGCGTTGTCGTTGCTTTTTGGCGAGAGGACGCTTTTGGAGCTCTTCGTGATGACGGAGGGGCTATAAGTACACGCTTTCTTCGCGATGTAGACTCAGCCGCCACCAAATCATTAGTCTCGGGTCCAGCCTCGGCGACGATAACCTCCTCGGCGGCCTCCTCGGCGGCCTCTTCGGCGGCGGCAGCCCGGCGAGCCCTCTCGGCGGGCGTAACGATCCTGATCGACGGCGAGGCAGAGCGTTGAGGAGGATCTCTGGCGGCGTCCTGTGCCAGTTGTTGTATACGTCGTTGTTTCCGCGTACCGTTGGCGATGGGTGACGGACGATGCCCAGAAGGGTCATCATCCGCCTGCCGAGCCGCGCGGCGGCGTTTAGGAGGCATCACGATGCCCTCAGATAATGAGATTCAATAGAAATAGATCAATTGAAGCCATCAGAATAGGTCAATTGCCGTACTACGAATATCTACGTGGCGTTGGGCAAATTTTCATGTATATACAGGGATTATGCGTGCGTAATTTCGGCAAAAAGGGGGGGCGGACGCTGTCAACGCAACGGAGTGTAGCCGGTTGTCGGTGGGGTGTTGCGGGGTTAGATTTGTCCGCACGCCAGACGCTCAAACCCGGGCATCCGTGCCCCGTGATGTCGGCGTTAATGACTGCAGGGCCTAGTCATGTAACATGTAAGCCGAGGATGAGATGCACCTGCAATCTGGAAAGTTGATGTCAGTGGAACTTGGGCTATTAATGAAAGCCGTAGATAAACCCAAGTTTGGTTGAAGGAAAAGCTATCGAGTGGTTCAAGATTTTGCAACGCCTATCTACTAATACAATTCACAATTATGCCATCGGAGCCAGCGATCGCAAACTTGGGCATGGTGTTTATTTCTACCAAAGAAAGGCACTTTCGTAACTTTCTGAAGGTTGCGTTTGTGAGTACCCTTGAGCACTCCCTTGAGGTTCTGCCAACGTGTGATTCTCGAACATCATTCCTCCTATGCCTTGAACCTGTTCCCCTGACACCCCATCCATTGGCTCAACGGCCTCAAAGCCCGCCCGCTCGCGATCTGGAGTCGCAGCAGAGAGATTTGAGGTCGGACTTGAAGACTCAACAGCAGCAGATGTTACTTTAAATGGGCTGAGGGGAGTTTCCAACGCCTGCGTGGTTTCGTCGTGGTATTCCTCGTCGCTGTCGAGGTCCTGGATGTGACCGGCAGCGACTTGAATTGACTCTGACCGGGGCGATGCAACAGAAATCGATGACTTGTCCTCAGCCCAGCGCTGAATTTCTTGTGCTGAGTTGAGAGGAAATTTTGCCCAATAGACAGGACCGAATCTTTCTCGTCTTGCTGCCTCAGCAGCGCGGGTGTCTTTTTCATTACCCGAGTTGGGCATGCGGAGTTCAGATAAAGCAGAGTTCAACTGCGCCTCTGAGCACTGTGACAGTAAGGCACAAAGAACGTTTTCCGTTTCTAGCAATCGCCTCTCCATGGTGTTTATGTAGTGTTTCGGGGGGCCCCTGAGTTTAAGTCCTGTTAGTATTTCGGCTTTGGAAGTATGAGATAACCTACCGTTTGCGCGGTTCAGGCCACTGGCAGACAAGGTTGTTGATACTACATTGTGCACATCTTGGTCTAGATGTTGATGTTAAGCTTAGCCGTGGTGAAAATTTCAAGATGCAGGAAAAGCCATATCACCAACCTCTCCCCGCTGCACTTGGAGAGATAGTCAGCATCAGCCGGCCATGTGACAGGAAATTGAGTCTGTACCTTATGTTTCTTGGCCCTGCAAGCAAGACATGCCCCACTACTTCGGGATGTCTTGGACGTTTGGTTATTCTTGAGTCTTTGGTCCGGCATCGCAGTTGTCGGATAATGGCAGCCGAGATCGGTTATTGGGTTATTGGCGTATCTGGCGTAAGACGACCGAGATTTGGGGTTGGGGAGCATACGCGGGATAAACTTGGAGATGGGAGGTTTGTGATCGCTTAATATTTCACCCGCGGACAAAGGGAAGCCCGCGGCCAAGTCGCACACAGGCTTCTGGTGCAGGGCCCACACACGACGCGGACGGCACCCAAAATGAAGCGTGGGACAACTACGTCACTTCAGGGACCAAATGTCATCTTAGTTTTGAGAAATTGGTTCAATTGGGTTGACCTGTCTGATGCATTCAGGCGCCAAGTTGCTCAGGGACAACCGTCAACAGCTCTTCCCCGCACACACCCCGCCTAGCGTTTTCCATACCCAGCAATTCCATCTGCTTCAGGGTCTCGTGAGTGTGTGTTCCCATGTGAGGCACGAGCAATGCGCGCTCGTTCTTAACCAATCTCTCATCAACAACGGGCTCCTTCTCGTAAACATCCAGTCCGACAGCAGCAACATGGCCTTCGTCAAGCGCGGCGGCCATGGCAGCTTCGTCAATGACTGCACCTCGAGCAGTGTTGATAATCACCACACCGGGCTTCATTTTGGCAATCTCCTCCGGCCCTATCAGATGGGTAGTCGCCGCTGAGAGAGGAACATGGACAGAAATGATGTCGCTCGTGCGGAGAAGCTCATCGAATGAGACGTAAGGGGTTCCGGCAGCGAGCTCGTCTGAGAGTGGCTTGCGGTTATGGTAGATGGCGTGGAGGCCAAACGGCTCCGCCCGATGCTTGACTGCACGCCCAATGCGGCCCATTCCGAGGATGCCTAGTGTCTTGCCCTGGGGATCATGGCCAAAGTCGAGACCCTTCTTGAAGTCTCCCCTTCGCAAGTTGCTTAAGCCAGGATTCACTTGGCGGAGGGCCCCGAGAAGAAGGAAGATCGTCAGGTCAGCAGTAGCGTTGGTGACCGGGTCGGGTGCATAGGTGACCGCAATGTTTCGCTTGCTGCAGGCATCTACGTCGATCTGGTCATAGCCAGCTCCTGTGTGGCATATGTACTTGAGGGAAGACGGTAGTTGACTAATGAATTCCTCGTCGAACTTTCCAGCAACCTATCAAGAATCAGCTCGCGGTACTACCAGGCATCACTTGGGGGTCTTGCGGCTCCACTGGCAGATGTCCTCCATATGGCTTTAACATCATGGTACTTGCTTCTCAGGTCCTTGAAGAATTCTGCTCGCGATGCGCTCGTGACCACTTCAGGAGCAGCGACGGTTTTGAGAGCTTCATACTCAGTGGTGGCGTGACGAATAGGGTTGAAGAAAAGAATGCGGGGTTTCGCTTGGGACATGATTGCGGTGCGATGTGAAGCTTTGCTTGAGGCTCTCATTCTGCTAATGACGGAAATTGAAGTCCGCAAACATATACCAGCGTTTGACATCTTATAATCAGTTCGTGCGGATGAACGGCGGGTGCCGCATATTGGAGTGCGATTGCCGCGGCTTAAAAATTAGGCGATCCTTTTCGGTCGATGGTCACGACAACACCCGCGCAGGGGTTCGCGGCTAAGATGTGACTGGCATGACAGAGACTCTGATTAAAAGTCTCGCCGACCAGAATTTCAACTCCGACGCAAAGATTGGAGCAAGGAAGCGGAAGTTTAGGATTGTCATCGACAGTCCAGAACACGGATGGTTTCGGGATCGGCAGCGCGCGGTCAATGCTTTCGAGCTCAAACCAAGGAAACCAGCGACACCCAGAAACAATTTGCGCGACTGTCCCGCGTGAACTACACAGCTCTTACAACGCCACCATAGAGCGCGAAAATCCGTTCTTCTCCGTGAAGTTACTCGAGGATACTTAGAGAATGGAATCATGCCAGGAGTATGCTAGAGACGGATCCCGCAGAAGTACTCGACTCCCCAAGGTGTGAGAGAAGTCTATACGCCATAACGAAAGCGTCTAAATACGACAATTACAACGGAAAATAAAGACAAACATGATGGGACTCTTGTACAATTCGCATTTGACACGCTGACACGCTGTTGAGGGGGGCGAAAATCGCATTCAGCAACTCCCCTTGCAAGGATCTAGAGCCCGGCCAATTTTTCTTTCTTTCGCGACAAGGAAGACGGAGTTATGGATGAAATAGATGGAGAACATATGGTGTTGGTAATTATTTCGCAGGCTTGAAGTCTTTGCGTAAAGACTTAGAACTTAGCCTATCCCAATCGACGTAACGGTTGGTAAAGAGGTTCGTAATCGGAAATAGGACGGTACCTGATTCCCCCTCACATCTGGAATCTTCCCAAACCCGCCACCATCAACCACAACAGCAGCCTATCCGAAATTGTAGGAGCCATCTTTCTAAAATCAAACATAGTAGAGAGGATGACACGCGAAGGCGTTAAAAGGAAAGGAAATTGCATCGAGTCCGACGCACGTCAACCACTGGTTGGTCGCTGTTCGTGTGGCACACACATAACACAAGACATATTGAAACGCCAACGGCCCTGATCATAAGTACACTCGTCCTCAGCCTGAGCGTAACCCGATTTGCAGGCATGGGAGGCATGCCGACCGCAATGGAACCAGTTCTGGGGGGGCAGGGGGGGTTGCTGAGGTCTTCGCCGTTCCATTCTCAGGAAGTGTACTTCAGGTGGCTTGTGTTCGTCAACAACCAAAACAGCATCTCATTAACGACGTGGTAGGATACTCCTTCACTTCCCCACTCGAGGATGACATTGTGAAGAGTTGTGTTGCCGGGTGCATATTGGAACTTTGGTCTTGACGACACAAGGGCGAATCTTTAACTCGACAAAGTACGCCCCACGTTGCTTACCGAGCACCGCTGGCAACGTGACTGGATCTTCCGCGTGTCCAAAATTCCGGATCAAGTGGTCTTATCTCGGTGGGCATTTTTGTTCGTTCGAATCGGTGTCTCGCCTTCGTACTAGGCTGTCAAGACATGTAAAGAATCGGATCGTGATCGGGGGCGTCGTTCGGGCTGCGAGATAGCATGTGGGTGGCCAAGGTGGACTGAAACTATGACCGAAAAGTTTGGCTTCGTCCAGGCTAAAGCGTAAGGTTGGTCAGCCGGCAAAAAGCAGAGTGGTCTGGCGGGCAAACAATTTGTGATACGGAGTTGGACAGGTAGATAGCTTGTCAATAGCACAACACACGGAAGAGGGGCAAGGTTTGCGACTAAACAAACTACAAAAACCAGGCATTGCGAACCAGTTGTCTTTTCCCCACTTAGCTCGTTGTTGTTGCTCGCGCTGTCGTCTCGCAGTATGTGATCGTGTTCTTGGGACTCGCCGTGTTCTTTCAAGAATTCTCAACTGGAACGACAGCCTCGTCAGGTATAGTGGCACACAGTATGTACTCGGTGTAGTATTGACAGATATTGTAGATGGCATCAGATGGCCACTGCGGTAGACAACAGTCCCAATCCGTTGCCAGTATCGTAGCGCGACCGCGCGTTTTCCCAACCTTGGAAACCGCTGGCCTCAAACTAATACATCACCTAGCGCAATGTCAACCGACTCTTTCAAAACGCTGACAATTACTCGAAAGTCCGACATGTGTCCAGAATCAGAGAGGCTCTGTTGTTTGGTCGTCTCAGCTGGTGGGTCGCTGCCGGAAATCGTTTTGGAGGGTGTTTCGCGTAGCTTCCGTTGAGTAATAAAGGCTGGCTGTGCCATCTGGTTATTTTCGAAGCAGTAATTGTTCCAGCAGCCCGAATCTGATCAATCCTCTGTCTTGACTTGTTCGGCATCATCATGCGATCCCTCGACATGCGTGCCCAGAAGGATGTCTCCCATCCGAACGAGTTCAAGAACTCGAAGAGCGTCACCGGTGGATCGTAAACGGTTGAATATTTCCCGGGCTTCTGGTTCGGGTCGTACACATAAGTATCTCAGAAGTTGACGCATATCTTCGTTCTCCTTCTCGAGGTTTTCGTATCGTCTTCGAAGCGATTCAACACGCGTCGTGTCAGGTTCGGTATCCCATGAGCATCCTTTCTCCTGAACGGAGCATCGGAAGCAGGTTGGACGAGTGCCAGTACACTTTGGAAGACAAAAGTGGTCAGCGGAAAAAAAGACCTTTTTTCGAACGGGGGCAACAGGACTGGGAGAGGGTGAGGTAGGGATGACGGGGAAGGGGAGCCTGAACGTTCGGTGCCGTAAGGTATGTATCATTTGATATCTTCCTAACCGTCCTTGCCCCACATCCTCGGAGTCGAGGCCGAAAACCAATGCGATCGCACTTCGATCAGAATCCGGTGGCAAGCTACTTCTTATTGGAGAGACAAGGAGAAGAAGTATTCTTTTTCGACTTTTGGCCACATTGACGGATGAGGACTTCGTTGCCTACCTTGACTTTTCTCCTGCGACACTGAAGACAAGCGGCAAGGACGGGCTGCCTAGCTGGTCTCAGGCCGCGTTCAGGCCCCAGGGGCGCGGGCAATCTGGTCACAGATGCAGCTGGCATAATACGCCTGTAGTTGATTGCTGAAATGGCAGGTTGTCGTTCGGGTGTCGCGATAGCAGTCGCTTCACCAGTGTCCTTTGCATTCATTGCGAAGCCCACGAAGGGAGGGTATGTCTGTGGTGGCATTGAATCTTCGACCAACAGGATTGATCCGGGCTCCTAGGCTCTTTGGGATATCTATTTATAATTAAACAACTCTAGGTATAATGTCCCAACAGCCTCAGCCTGGACCTACCCGTCTTTGCGCCTGGAGGCGAGGCCCCTGGCAGTTGTCGCACTGCAATCGCTCCCCGCCCAGAGATTGCCGCCACTTGGTCCAACTTCCAGTGAGCTCAGAGCTGGCCTGGTTCAATAAGCCTGGGATGACGGGACGGTCATGTTTTTTGCTGCCCAGTTGCATTTTGTTTTGACGGATGAAACCGTAATGATAATCCCGCGTCAACTGCGCGTCAACTGTGGTCGACGGGTTTAGTTTTGTACGACGCTGCCGTTCTTTCGCTGGGATGATAAGGTCTTTGCCTCCTCCACGATTTCTCTCACCTCTTTGTCGCGGTAGTGCCCGCGTTCGCGCCCTATCAGTATCTGTCTGGGCCGTGGTCTGGGATGGTTTGTTCAACACAACAATGTTTCGGGGGCAGTGAATGCCACCAGCACACCAAGATAGAGAGTTTGGACCTGAACTGTGTAGGACCATCTATTTAAAGATCCGCTCCTTATGATGGGAGACTTGTGTCAATGTCCGGCTGCTGCTGACCAGTGCCCAGCGCTTGGAGGCAGCATATCTCAGATCTGCTGAACAGAGCCAACGCTGAACTGCCCTGATCGTTTCGTCTACCGGATGCTCCCTAGCCCCGGAAGCCGATGTGCCCCTATGCCTAGCAATTGCTGCTTCGTTCAGACAACCAAGAGGGCGTGCATTCTCATCTCACAGGCGACGACTAAACACCGCAATGGACGATAAAATCGAGCACCATCAAGTCAGCTGGAAATTCTTCCAAGAACAAAATCCGCCAGCAAGTCTACATCACGCGAGAATGCAAGTGGTCACCGCATTTGTAACCACAAGAAGAATCCTGCACATATTTTAGCTGTCTGTGCCTCAACGTGCCATAACCAATGAGCCAGTCCTACAAGCGCCGTTCGAGTTCACAGAATATATGTTGAGCCGCGCTCAAACGCATTTTATCGGCCTGCAAGGAGGCCAAATCCAGGTTGGGTTACACTGAGGAGAGTGATGTCCGTGGTGATGTGAGATGCGTTCACCGTTGCTACCAGCAGAAATCCGCAGCAAAATCTCACGGCTTTCTCAAGTTTCTTGACGCCAGAGCTGCTGTGGGTCTGTGAAGCCGAGGGTGATGCCACTGTTGTCAGCCCTGCTGGAGGTCCGATATTAACTGGCTTCACAATGCTCCTGCCTGCTCCCCGTTCCAAGTCTGCCCGGAAGACATTATCGAGATTGCCGTTGATGTGATCAGACATGCTATATACTGAACCACGAATCTCAGGTGACGCCTTGTTCATATCGTTCCTGCTAGTGGAAGGGAAAATACATTGCCCAAAAATACAGGGCCATGCTAATTAGTCGGCTTTCCGCCATAATTTGGGAAAGGTTGACCTCAAAGTCTCGTCACACGAACGAAACAACATGTGGAAGAAATGGTTATTGATGTAAAAATACGAAACGCGAAAGTGTTCGAGTATTCAAGAGATAGCGGCAAGAATTGAGCTGCCATGTACCTTGTGCCTGCGATCGGTGGTTGACTGTCCGTCCTGCTACAGGGAGGCCGCACAGTAGCCATACTTAAAGCCGGCTGGTATTGCGATCGTATTCCTCTTTTCTCGGGTCAGCAGGCATAGCCTCCTGATGCGTTTTTGGTGGTTGCTTATAAGATCTGCGGGTATGCTCCGCATAATCAATTGCGTGGCCGTCAACTATTTCCTTCATTTTGCCACTATTGCGGACGCGACACGATGTACACCAGCCAGCGTGACTCAGTGTGTTGCGGTCGGACCATCATGTATGAGTTCTTGATGGTTCCCAACACGATGATTTCAGAATCAGGTTGCCCAGCTCAACCCCAACGCCGCTACGGCCCCTCACGAGGCCCAGATCCCCAAACGACGGCACCATGAAGCTGATTGGCACATCCTCCAACATGCTCTCGTCTAGCTGTAGCCCCTCAAATGACGATTTCGCCACCTCCGGTATTTGAACCCCCTTGTCCGACGCCATCGCCAATAACCCATGTAGCAAGAACAATGTGAATGGAATTTCCTCTACACGATCCCGTATCAATCGGCAAGTCCGCGCAAACGTATCGTGGGCTTTTGGGTGATTGAGCAACATTACCAAAGTAACAGAGGCGTTGAATAAGATGTGGACGATGATACTCGAGCTGTCTCTCTTGGAGAATGCGCGTTCTTTTTCTTCGATGTCCCTGATGCCCCTCTCACAGTGCGCCAACAGGTGTTCGACGACATATCCATCGTTTGGGAGATGCAGTTCCGGCTTGAGAGGCCGCAGAATTGCGAAAACCACTTGGTCTTCGTAGGCTCTTCCGTGCACGTCAGCTCGCTGGGAAGGCAGCTAAACCACCACAGTAAGGGGCTCTCACCTTAAATAAGAAGCTGGAGAGGAATAATCTTCATCTAGTCGTATCTTTCGGGACACCGATTCGCGCCACAGTCGCAAGTTCCCGAAGAGCTCCATCCGCTTCTGAATATCCTCCTTGGAACCTGTGTTCATTACATAGGCGTTGTACTCCATTACATTATTAAAGATCGCGGACAGATCACATGTCGCAGTCCGGAGTCTGACGTCTCGGTGGCCATTATCTGCCGATTCCGGCATGTTTTCGGAGGTTTCGTCGAGAATTTCTTGCGGTATCGAGGGTTTTGGTAGAAGGGACGGACGAAGGTAGGCAAAGGCGAACATGCTGCGGTTGCAAAATCGTCAGCCAATCCAATATGATGAACTATCACGAGAAGCATTGCCGATGCCAACCTTTCGAAGCAGTACATCCCCCACAAGGCCTTCGACATGATCTTTCGATCTCGCATCTCTACCGTCACGTCTACCTCGACCGCCAGAAGGGTGTTAAACATGTCTCCTGCGCAGAGCTGATGCATTCTCGAAGCACAATCTGCTCCCATAGCCGCTGACGATAGGTGCATAAGCAGCAGGGCTTGCGCGGTGGCTAAGGACGTCCTTCCAGCTTCACGATGTAGATGTCTTTGGGCTTCGTCGAAAAAGAGGGATTGCATGTCGCGTCCGATTTGTAGTCCGAATTCTTTTGCTCGTTTCGAAGAATGCTTCACAGGAAATCAGTTAACGTTAGAACACGCTGCCACTAGGGATTTTCTTGATAGATTGAACTGAAGCGCCAGAACGTACGCTTCTCAAGGCGCATATCGCATTTACGAGGACTGGAGAGCAGTATCGAGCTGTCTCCGGTGAACATGATCGCATATCCTCGAGGAATGCTTCTTGTTCCACGAATGCGAGAAAGAAAGTCGCATCCAACAAGAAGAAACTAGTGATCAGGTCAGAGACAACATCATCGTTCGCCAGAGTTGTCCATGGTCGTGCGGGGACTACCAGAAGCCTCGTATGCGAATCCTCATTTTCTGCACTTCTCAGCTTGGGGTCGACTAGGTCAGCGCCCTCACCCACTTGTCGTCTCTGTAGAAGCAAATCGGCAGTCCGCACGGCGTTAAGGACCTCCAGCGCATTACCCGACGCTCGAAGTCTCCTGAAGATCTCCCTGGCTTCCTCGTCCGGTCGCAAGTAGAGGAAGCGTAGGAGCTCGTGCAGGTCCTCGTTTTCGCGTTCGAGTTCTTCCTTGCGCTTGCGTATCGAGACGATTCGCGTCGTGTCGGGTTCCGTGTCCCATATGCACTCGATGTTGGTCTGAGAACAGCGGTAGCATTTTGGTCGGAGTCCGGAGCACTACACAAGATCACAGTCAGTGCCACGTCGTTCCGGGTTGAGACACGGTAGTCTTTTAGGGTGCTGCTGGGGTCGGAAGAAATAGTTAGAAGTTGCGTTGTTTTCACCCCACATGTTGGGAATATTTGCCCAGTTGTTGCTGATGTGGCTGCTAGCTCGGGAAGACCTGGTACGACCCCTGAGTCAAACGAACCAAGGTCCGCCAGGCTACTGGCCCGAGACGGCCTTGTGATCATGCGCATCGGGGTCGTGGATGAGATCTACATGAGAAGGAAATTTCATAATGTTACCTTAACCTTCTTCTTCCTGCATTCCAGACAAGCCGCTGGAACTTGACTCCGAGGAGGTTTGGCTACAGGTTCACAAGAGGTTCTGGCTGTTCCTGCAATGGACCTGGCGTCGGCAACTGCAGGTAAAAGCCGTCTCAGTCCTGTCCACTGGGTCCCTGTTTGGTCCTCGGGACCTCGGCGCACGGGGCCTGTACCAGAGTCCATCTGGGTTCTGAAAGATGACACAAAGCCTCCACGGAGGTTCTGGCTGCTTGCTTGGGCTCTCAAAGATGCCGAGAAGAAGATTTGAGGTCGTTGGTTCGTGGCGGGAGAAACCGTTGGGGTAGGTAGGCCACAAACAAACTCCCTGTGGCCAGTCCCGCACACTTGATCGTGGCTAGTCCTCGCTGGCCACTAAACAGAGGGAAGTACATAGTCTCCAAAAGAGAGGACAACGACATCAAGAGCGGACTATACGTAAGCCGGAAGTGGGATATCGATTGAGGCAAAGAAACAGCAATACACTTGGTATGCGCTAATGCTTTCGTAACATACAGCTGGGTCTGGCCAGGCTAGGAGCACCCGGGGGGCACAATCAAGATCGGTCTCGTCGTGCCACATCCTGTGGCATATGCCTACACAGTGTATTCCGGGACACTGCAGCGTAGTTTGTGGCCGGGGTAACTATGGCCTAAGCATGGATATGGCTTCGTTCGCCGGAGAGTGAAAGGCAACGAGAAGAGGGAGGGACTTTCGTCTATTACCAATAATAATTTTAGGTCATGGTCGCAACTTCCTGGGCGCTTTTCCGAGGACTTTCGCGGACTAGCCTGGGTTTCATTGCGTTTCTGTAGGTATCTTTACACACTTCCGGGCCTCCGTGGTTTCCCTAGCATTCATTCGCCACGGAGCCACGAGCGGGATGTCCAATCTCTTGCGCCACACTGCGCGGCCATCCAAGATACCAACTTGCGGGAACGTGAGCCAAAGCGTATAGCCCCCTAATTATTCCGCACGACGACCAGGGACGGCACACTGGCAACTGCCATTTCCTGCTTCACGCACACAGCTATCCGTACTGTGCGGCACCCAGGAACACCACAGGGGTTGGTTCATGGAGCTGCCCACGCGAGCCCGAGTATACTGCTTAGTACAACACACACCCTCAAAGAATGTAAGCGTAGCACTTCGACCCTATAAGTGCATATCACGGGCCTAGGTAGGTTTGGTGACGAATAGGGGGTCTACCCTGCCTAATTCCATGCGGGGTATCTATCTTATGAAGCAATTTGCGGGTATGGAGGGTAGCGAACATGTACACAAGGAGGCGTCGGCCGTAATATACGTAGCTGCAAGGTACCCCGAAAGCCATCCTTTCAAGATCCCATGGTGCGAAGCCTCAGTCAGCAATGCCGAAGGCTCCGTCTGTGATAACCGTAGTACGTCACCGGAGGGGCTCCGGTGTGCCTGATTGGTGAGTCCGACATGCCCTATTGACTGGCCAGCGGGAATAGTCCCGCTGCGCTTTCCTATTGGATGCCAAGACTCCTCTCACTCAACGCCACGGAGGAGGCTCTCGCGCACAACGACATTCTTGGGCGTCTAATATCACCTCAACATGCACGACATGGTTTCATGCAGAGACGAGCGCGCGCCGGGTCAATGTCAATTGCTAAGTCGTGGCTCCACTGACCCAAGTTGAGTTACCTTCGCGGCCAACGGAAACCAATAGCAACATCTGTCAAGGTGGCTGATGTCATGCCACACGAGCAAAGGTGCATGACAACCCATCGACACCCCTTGCTTGGAAACGAGCGTCAAATATTTGGATATGTAACAACTTGAACAAATATATGCAACTTTCGAAATGAAAACCTCGGTTTCCGTCACCAACATAACGCCTCGCTACACCCGCGTTTTTCTCAAGCCCAATCGCCCCAAAACAGCAGCGAGACGAACGCCATCACGCTTATTTGACGGTGGAGCCGATGGGGCCGAAGCGGATGTTGGAGTAGGTAACGGTAGCCTGCGAACACGGACTGTCAGAATCGATTTGGCCGGGAGGCGGTTTCAACCAAGTTTCCTTCCTCCAGAAAGGGGGTGAGAGAAGACGAGACTTACGCTGGCAAGGCTGTTTTCGACATCGGCGGGAACACCGGAGGTCGTGGGGCAGTCGCCTCTGGCCGCACCGGGCTGGCCGGCCTTCTCGGGAGGGTAGACGGAGTCGAGCCAGAGCATGTTGGCGTAGTGGTCGTCCCAGATGGACATGACCAGCACCCACTTGCCGCTGAAGGCGGAGTTCATCTGGGAGAAGCCTCCAACCTCGGAGAAGCGGTCGCGGTCGCCAAAGGCCTTCATTTGGTTAGTGCAGAACTCGGGGGTCACGGCGTTGCCAGTGACGCCGCTGATGGCGGATTGAGGCATCTCAATCTTCTTGCCGTTCTGGACGAAGTACTGGGCAACTTTGTTGTTGGAGAACTGGGTGACGACGCTTGGGAATGTTTAGTATGTGAATGTCTTTCTTTTGTGTGTCATGATTGATACTTACGTGAACTTCTGGGAGGTGTTAACGGTCTTGCCCTTGCCGTAGAAGTTGGTGACGCCCATGCGGTACGGGTTGAAGTCGCAGCCGTTGGCATCGCAGTCGCCAGCGAAGCGGTCCTCGGAGTAGGTGCCACCGCAGCCACTCTTCTCGCAGACGTGGTACGCGTTATTCTTGCACGCGTGGGGGGTGACAGCGAAGGAGTGGGCGTTGGACTCTGCGCGTGGTTAGCACCCATCATATTGTTCTGCTCGAGGAAGCATACCCCAGACGTCCATCTCAGCACAGCAGCCACCATACGGACCGACACCAGCGTTGGCATCGTTGGAAGAGGGAACCCAGCCCTCGATGTTGGCCTTGCCACCGACGAACTTGAGGTCGCGAGCGCACTGGGCGTCGCAGTATCCAGTACCATACTTGGCACCGGCCTTGTTGGTGGAGTACTTGGCCATGCCACCGTCTTCGTCCATCTGGACGAAGTAGAGGGCACCTAGGCATCGTATCAGCATCTATACCTACATTTTGGGTGTGACAGTCCTCTCGACGTACCATTCAGGCCACACTCTAGCTGGGAAAGATCGACGTCGAACGCCAGCTCGTTGCCGGTGAGGGTGAACATCTCGTACTTGGTGGCGCTGTTCATGAGGTACAGACGCGAGCCGATGTTCTTGCCGTACGCGTGCTGCGTGACGAACTTGAGACTGAGGGCGTTGCCGGAGGTCGTGGCGCCATAGGTTCCGGAGTAGTCGGCACCCTCGAGGGCGCACTTGGACGCGCAGTCGGTGGCGGTGCTGCACTTGTCGGTCCACTTGTTGCCGTCGTAGCAGTTGGCGCCCGAGCTGTCGTGAAGCCAGCGCCAGTTGGAGTCGATGACGACCTCACCGTTCTGGTTGGTGCAGCTGGAGCTGGTGCACTTCTGCCAGGTCAGCTTGGGGTGAGTTTCGGTCTGCTGGGTGCCGGCCTGCTGCGCGGAGACAGCGGTGATGGCCGCGAGGAGGACAGAGAGGGAACGCATCTTGTGATGTTGCGAAAGAAGAGAGAGTAAATGGTTGAGGACGAGGTCAGCGGTAGATTTTCTTGACGTCGAGGACTGTTGATGGCCTCTTATATTCCCCTCTGGTAAGTGGTAGATCTTGGCACATTATAAGCCAAGGAGGTCCAGACTCCGAAAGAGATGATCTTCCCCAGTCGCCGAAAGCTCTCCTTCGTGGAAGTGAGGGTATCATGACACGGGAATCCACAGTACTTCCACGGAGGGGTCCATCCGTCGGATACAACGAGTTCAGATCCGACAAGATAGTACCACGCGGAGTTGGCCTTGATCCCAAAAGGAAAGGCGTCAGGCACCAAGGGACCGAAACCCGGGACGACCATCACGAGGATGGTAAGAAGTTCACCAATCCGGGATGGCAATTTAAGCATCCTTTGATTCGGGCAACTGAGAGGTGCGGGGGAGGCAAAGTGTGGCTACAGAGGAAAAGGTATGAGGTGGTATCGACTGACGATAGGGGACTGGGTGGGCGGAACCGACAGCCGTATGTGATGGTGTATATCTGATGATACTAAGAGGACTAACTAACTTCATTCACCTAGACATTTTGAACCCAGTCATGCTTTCGGTCTCGACCTCCCATATCATTGCCTGCGACAATTACTCTTGTCGGACACATAGAAGCTTTCAGGATAGACTCGAGGGCGCAGTCTTGCTGGTGCCCTTTTGATCTGCGTCGAGATAGAGAGCCTCAGGGGCTAAGCTTTGCTGATACTGGGGTTCTCAATGCCAATAACGATCAAGCCTCTGTTGCCAAGTGTCTGGGCATGTGTATATCGTTCCCACGGCTTCGCTCAAATAAGCCCAGCGTTCCGTCGCTGGAAGCCCATACCAGCTAGGCTCATGGATTGCTCAGGTGGCAGGGGTAAGGTTTCGGAAATCGCGGAGGGTATCAACAGAGAGCGCTTACGGACAGGTACGTTGTGTACCCCCTGGCTAACACTTTCGGCTGCGCGATTTCACTAAAAGGGCTCATTGTCTATTGTCACCCTGCTTATAGGTTTATGAGGCGGATTTCGGTCTTATACAGGGAGTCCTAGTTTCGTCGTTCATAACGCCAACGTGGTTTTTGGGTCGAAGATATGTAAGGCGTGATCGAAGAAATCGTTCCTGCATGGTGGTATCTTTCGGTGTCGCTGGAGATGCTCACGAAACGTCTCCTTCGCCTATCTAACGACCTCGACAATTCTAGGTTTGCCTCGTCTAAACGCCGAAGGGGGTGAGGTTGTCATGTGGCTTCAGCCTTAATTAGGTGTGGTTACGGATGCTACCCTGATCTGGGGTAATTCCCCTAGGAAGCCGGCAAATTGATTTAGTCTCGGCTGACCACGAATGATTCCACCACACATGGACGGCACACTCCTTCTGACAGAAGGTAAGCTGAGGCGAACCACTCACGTCGACGGCGCAAAGGTGGGGTAACAGGGGGCGGCTGGAGGATATATGAACTCGATCCAACCTTGGTCTTGCCCATTGGTAAACCCGATATTGAGTTGTACGAAGTGGCCCAACCGTGAGCTGAGAGAAGAGGACAGCCGGTTGCGACTTGCCAATGTCGGACTGGTTTGTTGAGGGAATGCCGTAGGAGGCCTTTTGTGGGAGCCCGATTGCTACGTCGAGACGATTTGGGAACGAGAAATCGGAGCGACAGATGCCGCTTGTTTGAAGAGAACATTGATGACACAGGACGGTAGAAGGAGAACATTCAGGATCAATATTTTGAATATGGAAGTTTCAATTAGCTGTATCATGGACGATGGCAGTGTCTTAGTCCTCATTGAGCCTCAAATGACGGCATCTTGGGGGCTTTTGGGCAATCGATTCGACTGCAGTAGTGGATAGTCTATCTAGCGGAGCAGCAAAGTCTGGGGTTTGTTCGCTGGAACGGTCCATGGCCAGGTAAAAACTTCGGCATTCAGCCATATCAAAAGGGGAGGCAGCACGGAGAGGAGGGCCGACAATATAATAGCCGAGTATTGTTGCTGCTAAGCGAGGGTCACCAAGGGTCATGAGACTTGCGTTGAGAAA